GAGGATGGAGATAGCGGAGGAGGAGGGCGAGATGGCGAGGTAGGGAGGAGGGGAATCCTCACTGCCCTGTCCTGTCCTAAGCCTTACCTGCAGGATGCAAGATGGCGCCTTGAAGCCTTCTGTAGTCGAGCCCCACTGAAGCTATGGCGCCAGAGGTAAGTACCAGGTAAGTACCTCACTCCTTCTCTATCCCTAAGTGCAGCCTAGCGCTAACCTAGCGCTGCTGCTCCTGGTGCTGCGCTAAACAGAAATAGCGCAGCGCTGCCTCTCGCTGCTCCCTCGTTCCAACCCGCAGGAATGGCTGCTGGAACGGCCTAAGTACCGTCCGGCGGCCGGTCGGCCTCAATGCTGGCCTCCTGCGCCGTGGGCTGAACCGTCGAAAATAGCCGTTCAGCCCAGATCGGCGGGCGGCAGCCTCAAGAGCGCCGCCAGGCCCAAACGGTTTGTCGTTTGGGCCAGACCTGGGTCTGCTGATACCGGGGTCCAACCGGTGGCCTAATAGGGCCTACCAGGAGGAAAATGGCTTGGCCTTTGGCTAGGCCGGCCTGGGTCCCCCTGAACCGGTATGTCGGGCCTGTGGAGGCCTGTGTGAAGTCGCAGACTGTAACATACTGTCCTCCTCTGCCCTAGTATGTAGGGCAAGACGATGAAAGGCCTTGTCATGCCTCACCCAGCAGGATCGGGACAAGCGATTCCGGAAGACCCGTCCTTCGAGGGTTGGGTGTGCCATCGAACTTCGATTAAACTACCCGGGAGTTGGAAAAGGGAAGGGCAGGGGCGCCCTCCCAGATCCTCGGCCAATATCACTACTTTACGCCAAGGAGAGAGAGCAACCCAAGGCACCACAGAACCCGGAAACACCAAGGTCGTCACATCTGCTCCTGTATCCACATCCACTGCGGTCCTCGGTACCGAGGCCCGGCTCCACCGGTGACTCACCCGGTTGCTGCAGAAGGTCAACAGAGCGAGGTACCTAATGGGAACGACACATCTGTTCCTCCCCAACAATTGACGGCATCGGGAGACGGCCGCCATCACAATCCTGCTTTCACCGGACAGAATAGGCAGGCTCAGTTGGAGCGTGCGGGAGGAGCGAGGGGGTCATCCCCCGCCTAGCAGGGACTGGCGCGTCCCTGTGGCACCACTGTGACTGTGGTGCGAAAAGCCTCCCGGCGGTGGAGCCATAGGGAGGTGAAGCCCTGAGTTGGAGTTGGGTGACCCCTGGCGCAGCGACCTGGTAGCGCCGGTCTGGGCTGATACTCCCGGGTGGGTAGTGAGGACTGAGAGTTCTCTCCTTGACAGATCACAAGGTAGTGGGTGGGCCCGCTGCACCGTCAGTAGGGCTGACCCCGGCGCGGAAAGCCCTCTGGCGGACATCCTCCCTGGCTCATGAACCCCGACACCTCTACAACCCTTATAAAGAAAAAGAAAAAAACGAATGATGGACTCTGGAACACAAACAACGCCATAGTCTGTGGAATTACATATGCCCAGCCCCATGGTCCCTCCACCTTTCACCAGACAACACAACAGGGGGGATCCTCAAGGTCCTACCTTGACGACCCCACCACCCGCTCTACGGAAATGGAAGGGGTGGAGAGGGTGATAGAAGATGCCACGGGAGAACTTCCGATGGATCAATCTGCCCCCCCCCTCCCGGGGTCCCAGGTACAGTGCAATAGTCCGCCCTAGTCCCGAACAGTCAACAGACGGGGCTTGTCCCTCGGGAACTCATGCAACTTTCTCACCCTCCCGACCACACGTTTCTGCACCCGGCCGCTCTTGCCCAAACCGTGGACAGGGCAACAACAGTACTCCAAACCCAAAGCGGACATCAATGGATGATACAACAAATTTGCAGCGGCGCCATGACCCCGGATATGGCTGTGTTGATGCAAGCTCAAAACAACCACATGATGCAAGAGCAGCCAATGATCACACACAACCTTATGGCAGGACTACAGCAGCCACAGGGCCAGAACCACCAACAACAAATACCAATAACTCCTACCATGGGGCAGCTCACGGATGAGCCCTCCCTAGTTAGGGGAGCGGAGGATAATCACAATAACAATGAGGTGCCCCCCTCGGATCCGGGCATCAAAATAGATATGACAAATGCAGAGGGGGAAGCCCTGCCAGACGCACAGTTTCAGAACAGTGCACGAGAACACATTCGGCCCGGTGAAATGATAGAACCTGGTCACACTGACGCACGACACCCAAAAAGGTTGTTGAAGGATAAACGGGTTAGAGCCAAACTGAAAGCAGTCACAGATGCAGCCCATATGGGACTTCTCAGGACATCCAGACAAGGGGACCCTACTCATATCCCCCCTCTGCATTGGGAGAACATAAGAAGAGCATTCATGAGCTCGAACACGGTCACCCACTACTTGGACAGAACTACCGACCCGGCCTCCATAGACTGGAAGGTTGTAGCCACTCTTGTGATGGAGGCAGTCTGTTCCCTCCTCCACGAGATACAACGCTTTTCCCCCACTGAGGCCAATCACACAGCCGGAACAACTCTTGTGCCTACGAGGCACCCTCCGACCATCGTTACTCATGAAGGACGTAACTGGCTGGAGGTTATAATCCAAAAACTAGGGACTGTGATTCACGATACCCGAGTGGAGGGCGTGCTCACAAAGGCAGACGTGGACACAACGGACAACCTAGTGCCATCACATCTGCTCCTTCCTCTGTTGCACCTGCAAATTGTTCCCTTCTCCCCCCACATAGCACTGCGGACTCCCGGTGAAATGGTCCCACACTCCGGTTCCGAATGTGTTAGCGAGAGGTAAGAAGAGTCATTTGACACCTCTGATTTAGAATCAGAGCTTGAATGGGACCCCCTGCTGCCAACTACGGAGAGTGTGGACCTCCTCCTCGCCCATGGCCCAAACATATGTGGCCAGGAAGATGCCCGACTCAGCTTCCCACAACCGTCTGTGGGCAAGAGGGACGCGACAGACATGAGACTGCTAAATCCTCCAAACCAGGCAGAGGAGGAGATGGACAGGATAGAGCAGGCCCGACTGTCCTTGGGAGGATCACAATTGTCTCCCTCGCAAGAAATTGGTGACCACACACAGGCAATGGATGCCCCAAAATATCCTGGCAATGCTCTAACTCAATTTTGACCCAAACTTTAAAAGATGGATTAAAATATTGCATAATAACGCAACAACAAGAGTGATGGTTAATGGGAATGTGGCTCCCCCTATAGCTCTACAAAGATCTGTGAGGCAAGGTAACCCAGTTGCGCCATTCCTTTTCGTAATAATCATGGAAGCCCTGGCTGCTAACCTCCAACAGGCTACATCACAAAGATATTAAGCGTATTCAAGCGTCATCCATCCCAGAGGAAGCAATCCATGTTTGCTCCCTGTTTGCTGATAACCTCTCTTTGATGGTTGATGCGTCTCAAGAGAATCTAGAAGC